CTTAAGTTGATATTTTTTGCTATTTATAAGTGATTATTTCAAAAATTCCCCTGACTGTTTAAACTTACTATTAAAAAAAAGCCCAGAAGATACAGTTTGAATATAGATATGTAAGACAAGTATCCAACAGAGACCAACTGAGGTTGATGTTAGAATCTTTATGTGTGTGTGAAGAACTTTCATATTCTTTTTAATAGGTTTCTAGTTTTTATAAAACTATTTTGAAAAAAAAATCAAGCCTGTAGTTCAGTAGTTGTCGTTGGTTCACAGCTGTCATATTTGTTTTTCGTAAATTGTTTTGTTATAAATTAGGCCGTTAGTTATGTCAATTGAATAGCTTTATATTTTCATGTCGGTCCTTTAATAGCCGACTATTACGGTACTATATAGCCATACAGTATGGGTTTTTCTCATTGTTGAAGGCCGTACAGTTACCTATAATTGCCTACATCCACTTCATTTGAACTTTGGTAAATAGCTGTCATATTTGCAATCATACCACATCTCCTTATTTTTTAAACAATCATAGACACACAAAAAGTAAAGAAATGCATGTTATGTTCTTCTTGTATATTTTATGATATTTTCATATAATTGAGGTCTGGAACAGGCACTGTCAGTAACTGCTAGTAGTCCTTTGTTAATTGCTGTATCATTGTCCTTTTGTTTAGTTTCTTCTGTTACCTATTCTAACATCGGACCTAGACTTCTTAAAAACTGAGTTTTTTAAACTTTATCATCAAATATGTATCAAGGGTTTCCAGCATTTAAATTAGATTTAAAAATACCTTTCCAGAGCTTCTGGTAAAGCGATCCTTATCGATATACCAGTTTGTGGTAAATCATTTCAAGTAGTACAGTTAGAAATTTATTGTGATCCAACAATTAATATACACTTACATTGACTATATTTTCCCCCGGTGCAACGCGTTGCGGGGGACATAGAAATATTGGCGTCCGTCCTTCCGTCCCATCTACTAAGCGCTGTCACGTGTACAATTCATGCCAGATTTTTATGAGACTTATTTCATAGTTTTAAATTAGCAATTTCTTGAACGAATTTAAAAAGCCGTGCCTTTCATTTCTTTTTAAAGAGTTATGCCCCTTAGAAATATTAATTATGGTGAAAATTGCCAAATGAATGCTCTAATGTGAACAATTCTTGCCAGAGTTTTGAAAATTTATACTATAGGTAAATATTAGCAATGTTTTGGACGAGTTCGAAAATCAGTGCCAATCAATTGCCCTTGGAAATATAAATCATATGGAAAATTGCATTGTTAGCGCTCTCATTTGTTCAATTCTTGCCAGAATTTTATGAAACTTTTATCAAAGGTTTATACCAGCAATATGTTTAAGATATCAAGTATGAATATTACATGTATTAGGTCAATATTCTTTAAAAATAAACGTCTTTTGAAATGGCACATGTGACCTCTTGAAAGAAGTAGGATCAAGAAGTCCTATATTTGGTCCTTATGTCAAATTTTTCAATATTCAATCAAAGACTTATATTCATATCTTAAAAAGGCAAATTTGAAAAGACTACATATTTTTTTTCTCGAAATTTTAGTTTAAAAAAATGAATATTTAATACATGCATTGTAGCCAGATTGCTTGTATTTATGCATTTATAGGCCTTTTTATCTGAATAATATTGGTCACATACTAAGAGTAATAAAAACTTATCAAATTATATATATGGTTCAAATTCACACTATTACAAAACATATGGTTGTCCATTCATGCTGCCAATACCTTTGTAAACACCCTGTTGAAATTAGTCAAAAATTGTTTATTCAAAATTATGGTTTTTCTTCATAAGAGTGTATAACTTTGATGGATTGTGATGACACTGACCGAAAAATAGTAGTTTTTAATTTGGCATTTCCTCAATTTAAAAGGAAAATTAAGAATTTAAGTAAAATATTCTGCCAAAATATAAGTCCCTTATCTTGTACCATGTCCTTTGTCTGATGCTATTCAACAAATCCGGCTAACTGTTGAACATATAGCAATAGTTAAAATCATCAACTGTTTCTGGTATTTGATGTAATTAAACTAAACTTTAAAATTAAAAAAAATATATGCTTTTATGAAATAAGGTGTTTTTACAAGTAACGTAATTAAAAAAAAAATGAAGCAACATGTACCGTTACTCTGAATAGAAATGCATTTACAAAGAATGGTATTATCCTCACTATCTAAATCATCTTTTTTTTCGGAAATAGATCATTAGAATAATGTGTTTTCTTTTTTAGATTTTACTTTCTATGAGTACCCACAGCATCTTCAAGCAGAACAATGGATATTGATCAGACCAGACAGTCTGGAGAATTTACCATGGATAGAAGTAACAAAAGTGACAGCAACACATTCGATTGGTTTAATGGATATTTTGGACAGGAGTAGCAGACTGGTACATTGATTCCAAAATCTTGAACAAACAACAACTGAACACATTCTTGTCTCTTTTAAGTGGGATAATGTTAATCTTTACAAAATGCCAGCACAATTGAAATTAATATGGGATAGTTGAAAGAAGAAATTTCAAAATGATACATATTATCACATTGTGAATTTAGACAATCTCTATTTTTGTGAAACAGTTTTTTTTAAACTTTAAATACTGTGATGATCTACAAAACATTATTAAAAGATGAACATGTAAGTCTCAAGTGTGATCCAGTTTTTAACCGCTTTTCGCTTGAAAAAAAATCAAGCTTTTTTAAATTTATGAAGTGACAACAATTGTTTTTACTGGATTTACATTGAATAAATAATATTATCCAGACATTAAAATAAAAATGTTGAAATTGATTTCACTTCATTTTATTTTCATTTTTTTGCAATGTTTTTATCAATTTTTTTTAACCTTTCTAAGTGAGAAAGTCAGACTTCTTGATGCTTCTAGTTGTTACACACTACATTTAAAACATTGTCACATTTCATATGGTATATTCTGGCTTTCATTGTATTTTGTGTTTTTTGTATTTTGGTGAAATTGCAAATTGTGTTCTTACCAATGAAACTTAACAGTTAATTGTGCTTGATTTTTTTTCTTAAACAATGAAAAACCCTTTTAATTAAAAATTAATATGTTAAGGTAAAGTTCATCCAAAAGGTTGCTTTTATTCATTTTCATAAAATTATAAATAATTAAAAAAAAATTTGGAAAGTTTGGAACTATTTGATTTGATTACCAAATCAAATCAAATCAAATATTTTATTGTCTTATAAACTTTACAGTTTGTGACCAACATGTATTAACACAATAAACATATATACATACATATAAAAAAAAAAAAACACAATAAAAACAGCATCAAAATTTATAAAAACAAACAAGTTGTTAAGAGTCCCCTGCCCTCAGTTCTAATGACTTTTTCAAGAAGGATCCTAACTTATTTGTTTGTAAAGGCGTTGATGGATTTAGTAAATAATGAATTTTTTCTTCTTCATTTAAATTATTAAAGTTATTATTTTCAGTACATATGTGTTCAAAAAAGGCATTTCTTAGTGTTTTATTATAATCACAATAGAGTAAAAAATGTTTCTCATCCTCTAGTATTTTACATTTATGACAAAGTCGTTCCTCTCTTGGGATTTTAAAATATCTCCCCTTTTCAATTAAGAGGGAGTGATCACTTAGTCTAAATTTAGTGATCAATCTCCTTATCTGAAAATTAGATATATTTAGATAAGATTCTAGTTTGCAATCCTTTTTAAGTTTTTTATATAGATAAAATTTACTTTTATCATCAATGTTTTCAAATTTAGTTTCAATTAAATCTTCATATCTATTTTTCATTTTTAACTTTATATCGTTTTTTATTTTATTTACATCTTTTATGTCCTTACAATTAGAAAAAATATTAAGGTCAATATTAGTCTCTTCAACAATATTCTTTGCATATGTATACCATGAATAAGTTCCAGACAAATCTAGAGACTGTGCTAGAGAAAAAGCTTCCTTTATCAATGGATTAATATTATTATTATATTACCATTGAGACAGCTTTCCACGAAAGTTCAAATGATGTAACCGTAGGCATACGACCTTCAACGACATGAGAAAAATCCATACTGTATGGTCATCTATAAAAGACCCCGACATTAAACACCAATTCAATTGAGAAGAATAACGGCCTAATTTATTACAATTTACGAAAAACAATATGACAGACATGAACCAACAACAACCACTGAACAACGGGCTCCTGACTTGGGATAGTCACATAACGGAGGTGGCAGGGTGAAACATGTTTGTGATCGCTCAACCCTCTCCTAGCTGGGACAGTGTGTGTAACAGCACACCATAAGAATAAGCATTTATTTAGTACAGTATCATTTTAAAACAACAGCTTTCAAAAATTCACTTAATTTTGATGGCAAGTATTAGTAACCAATCAATATATACAGAGATATGAATCACCTGTGTGCAATTTTGATATTACAATACTTAAATGACTACTTACCCATTTTTCATCAGTATTCTGATATATTAAAGTATAGAAATTGACCCTATGTAAAAGTTTCAAAGTCAACGAATCATGACTGGGGGAGGGAAAATAATCATTATGGAGATGAGATGTGCAAAATCTAGTACAACTGCACATCTAATGTAATAACCGTTAATGTTCAGCCTTAAACTGACCAAATCACAAACATAAACCTGTAAACTAACTATGCATTTTCGAAATCAATAGACAGTGATTGGGGGAGGGATAATCGCCATGGAAATAATTTCCAGTGTCTTTTTATAAATGGTTACTAGAGTGACATCCCTAAATTATTCCCCTTCTGACTGAACTAAACAGCAATACACATTGCTATGAGTTGATGCTCTAGTAAATATAAATGTGTAAACCTAATTTTGTGACTGAATTCAGTCATTATATTTTTTTTACTGCTGCAGAATTGGTCTTTTCAACAAATATTTCCTGAATTTGTATTGACTGAATTCAGTCATCTGTATTATAGATGTGTATACTATGTAATCACACTTGGTGTAATTTAAGTCTTAGAAAACACTCTAATTTAGTACAATTTCTTGTAGCTTCTATCAAATGCTGTGTGACTGAATTCAGTCAACATTTTGTGAAAATAATGAACAGGATAAAGAGTTAATTTCATTTAAGCTGTTATCCTGTTATATGTTGCTTGTATTAATCTATAGTCCGAATTCTATTTCATCTGAATCAACAGTAATAGGTTTTAGTTAAGAAGCAACAAGTACAAATGTATTTTATAGATATTTTACGAATAAAATGGTAATGTTACTTTCTATTGTACTTATTGAATTATGTGATATAAAGATGCAATCAGGTGACTGAATTCAGTCACTCAAAAAATTATCACCGTACAATGCTATTTTATTTTTTGTAAGTTGATCATATTAATGGGGTCATTAATATGAATATATTCTGTGTTAACGTTTTCATCCATTTTAAATAAAATGCGCATTGCATACAATGTTGAATGTTAAATGGTATTCTATAATGAATAATATATCTACTCAGTTCAACCCTTGAATTTTGACAAATCAGAAAATTGACAAGTTGAACCAGACGGTGTTTTAAAACATACGCAGCCGACAAAAGTGGTAAATACCAAGGGTGAAGTTAAAACAAACAGATGTCGAATAAAACACAATGATGAAAATAAAAACAACAGCCTTAAAAAAAACTACACATAAAACGTAAGATTGATTGAGCAATATAACCCCGACCAAGAACAAGGTGGCAAAAACTTAACATGGCTTATATTTCACTACGACACACGCGTCATTTTAAGCCGTTCAGTTACCCTTGAATAAAAATAGGTTAACGGCTAAAACAGTGACGAAGTATAAGAGTTTTTAAATAGTGTGTCAAATCCGAGTAAAGGCATATATGCAAAGGTGAACTAAACAATTTGGGAGGTAGTGAAGTTCGTGTTGCTCAATCTTTAATTCTAAATATTTAGTGTTTTGTGGACATTTTTTAATCTTTTTGTCTTCTTTCTTTTTTATGCAATTGCGTTTTTAGTTTCTATTTGACAAAAGTTTGAAATTCCCTTTGGCATCTTTTACCTCTTTTCACATTCATCAGGAAGTTCAAACTTTAACATTTTACGTCAAAGGATGTATAAGTACCTGTATACGTAAAAAGCTATACAAAAAAGAAGACTTTTATGAGTTTTGACTGAGACTGACGCACCCAAAAACACCTTTTTGTTTGACAATGTCGTAAAAAATAAGTGCATTTTATTTTTCAATTTGAATTTGAACAAATCTATTTGTCAATTCCTCTGATTTTAACTATTACAGCCATGCCTGTAAAGCTAATTAGATAGTCTTCATATGTTTGCGTTATGCTTGGTTCTAACATGCAGTATATAATGTCGGACGCGTTATTTTTAAAGGGGTTTTGGGGCACATAATTCGTATTCGGTTGACATTTGCACATAGCCCAATGTTGCATAGATCAATAATATGCATTCTTTGTTTTAAAATCTTAACCATATCAATATTTCTTTTTGTAATGCTGTTTTGTTTAACAAGGAATCCAAACAGACTTTTATGACAATATATATTAACTGTTAGTTAAAATGTCATGTCAACAAAACAGTTTACAAATGCGAATTTGTTATGAATGAGTTTGAATTAGAGCAATTTCCAAATAGTTATGTAAAATATATAAAAATTCAAAAGAATAAAAGAAAATGGTAGATTGCATATTTAATTTTCTAGTGGAAGATAAGTCTGTTTTCTTTACATTGCTAATATCAAATAAACAGAAGAGCAGTGTGTACGGATACGAAGACTGATATCGGTTTCACGGATATTCATTTTAATTAGAATATTTCAAAACCAATGAAAGTAGTTAACCACATAGATTTTTTTATTCAATTTAGAGAAGTTAGTAATAAAAAATAATTTACCGTAAAAAGTTCTTTATTTTCATTAGTTTCTTTTCCTACGAAGACCTTCCAGTCTGTAAGCATTGTATTGCCTCTGTCTTTGAATAAAGACCATCTGTAACCAACCGGAATGGTGTCCTTATACAATACATTGCAGGGTGATTTCCGCCATTTTACAATTGTGTTGATGCAATTATCCGTCAATTGAAGCGAAGCTTGAACTTTCATGTCTATGGATGTTATTGTTTCAATTATAATTTCTCTAGAATTGGAAGGCTCAAGACATTTCAATCTGAAACACGCCTTAATAAACACCTTATAAATTGATTCCTTCAAATTTCCATGAAAATATTTATATTGATCCGTCCCAACCGATTCATACAAAAGTCTGCTTTCACAAGTGGTATTATTTGACATTTCACATAGTCCTACTTCATAATGTGATACGTACTGCATATATTCTTCGCCAATTGACCAGTAAACAGGTAGTAATGTAGTCGAAGATTGCAATTCCATGTCTGGATCACACTGATGGAGAAATAATGTGATATTTGAAGATTTATTCGAATTATTACTGTCTACATCGAGGAAAATCTTTGAGACCGAAACTAAAGGAATAAATGTTATAATCATATGATTGAAAATTTGTCTTCGAGATTTGACAAGAACATTTGTGTTTGATATTGTAAATGATGCGTTTGTATAATCCGTTAACAAAGAATGAGTGACGCCATGTTGAAGAGGTTTAGAAAGTTGAAGTACAGATTTTGATGATGAGATAATCCATTTGTTCAAAACGTTGTCTACCCCACATCGAATACCATGGTAAATCGTCATAGACGACGTCACAGATGTACTATTTAATATCACGAACCCATCGGACGATACTCTGTAGATTTCCTGATTTTTATAAGATGCCCTGATAGTCACATGATATTGTTTCTCTGTTTTAAGTTTACCTATAGATTCGCATGTTATTTCTTCATTGGTTGCGTTAAACACGTGAAAAGCTATTGCATCATCGGATTTGTTAACAGTGCCGACTCCTACTTCAAATTTTATCTCTTCATTTGTAAAATCTTTCATTATAAAACAATAAACCTTAGAGTCATAAATAACATCTAAATCTTGATAAAAGCCTTTACTTCCAGGGTCAACATCTAAAACTATTCCGTGTTTAGGTGGAAGTGAATTTGGTAGTATGAAAGAAGGTGTATTAATACTGCAATAATGTCCAGCATAGTTGTACACATGCATTTGAATATAGAAGTCTAATCTTTTCTCTGATTCATACATTTGTAACTTGTTCACAGGGTATTTGATGCATTGGTGATGTAAACCACACTGACCACCGTGTGATTTGATGTCCCACTCCAGGAAAGGTGTTACATACTTATTTTCAACGCCTGCAATGATAGTAAAAATATGAAAAAGTTTAATTCATTCAAGTGTTGGATATTCTTAACTTTAAAAAATGTAACAACAATAGTACGTGCTTTGTTATTGGTAAATGTTGAAATTACATTATTTTTATTTTTCAAGACATGTGATAAGTTAAAGAGGAGGCTACACGTTTTATAGCCCTGGTTTAACCAAAGCGCTAAATTTCCACGTGTTTATTTTTTTGCTTGTTTTTTTTTGTGATATTAGGTACAAAAAAACATAGTTGATAAGAAATAATTGTTTTATATCTCTTATCTTTACAATAACTTAATGCCAATATATCAGTATGCACCCCACGTGATCATTTTTATAACCATTAATGGTTGATGCCGCTGTATCTAAAGTATGTAACAGTGTTGTAATCATGGTTATTGCACTGTCATGATATATCATGAATGAGGCTCCAGACTCATGTTAACTTTTAACAAAACGAACGAAATTTGATTGTGTCATTTGTCTAAACAACTGTTGTTGCGTCTAAACAGCATTGCTGTTCTTTCCTTTAAAAAATAGGCTATTATCAGAGAACTGAAATAACCACTTACTGGTTTCTTAATTGGTGAACTGAAAAAAAAAACCTGAATTGGAAGTATATTTCTTTTAGACTAAATCATTAAACATATTTTAGCAAAAAGCATACACTCTAGCAAAAACTTTTTGTATGCTGTATTTAAATTTCCGTTGAATTATTTATCCAGAAATTTAACTGTTATTAAAAAAATATTCGTGCAAATAATCAAATTGTGTTACTGAATTTCTGGAAAGGAATATGATTGAAGCCACAAATATACGAATATGCGTTTCAACAGATAATAATTTGAAAGGGAGAGATGGAAGATACAAAAGGGATACTCAAACTCATAGTTAAAGACAAACTGACGACTCCATGGCAAAAATTACGAAAATCGACCAAAATAGTCTACAAAACACGACTATACGCTATAAATTTTCGACATTGTTTAAGACCCTAAAATGGTCTATGATTGCTTACTTCCAATTCATTTTAACTCTTGTGGATAGTTATCTCATTGGCAATCAAACCACAACTCCCCATTTTTAGATAGAAAGCTGGAAACTGAGCAACACGAACCCAAACGAAAACTTGAGCTGATATTAGCTACTCCCTGTGGGTAAGCAGATCAGTCCTGTGAAACAGCTATTCCAAAACGGTAAACCCACTTGTGCTGGTGTCTAGAATTTTCGTAGAGATGATGTTAACTTCGCCACTTTCGGTTTAATAGCTTCTTTTCAAGCAACAGCCTTCTATCAATGAAATCATGGTAGGAAATGAAACCGGTGTGACCTTACAATTAAAACAGTCAACAATGCAATTGATTCTGTTAAAAATGCAAAAAAGCCAGTTAAAAAATCAACTAAGAAAAATTCTATTCTCATACAAAAAAAGAAAAACCAAAGAACACAAATAAAACAGAAAACTTATAGCTACAGATTTAACTTATAGCATTAACTGTGAGATTCGTCTTAACCTCATTGTTAAGTCACAGTTATATGAACTCCATTTTCATGTTTATTAAAGAACAACCATCCCTATGTTTCTATTTTGTCGGTAGTTATCCTTTGAAATTAATTTATAATGACACAAATGAAAGCAGACGAGGAAAATTGGAACCTATACTACATTTATAAAATTGAATATAAACCACTATTTTCCCCTTACATAAAATGGAATCTTTGAACAAAAAACATATACAAATTCATATTAATATATTTCGAATAAACATCTTGATTTCAATCAAATGGTTGCGTCGATATGCTTGATGTCAGTTTCTCAAAATTCAGATATAGATTTTTAAACTAATTTCATTTGTGAACAGTAAGTCAATTAGTCTTTTCAATCTTACTAAATTGAGCACACACATAGAGCAATTAGATAAAATATTATTACTTAGTTTCAGTTACGGATTATACAAGTGAGAGGTTTAGCTACATAAGAAAATGCCTGTAGTAAGTTCGTTTAATGTGTTTGAGCATTTGATTTTGCCATTGGATTGGGGACTTTCCGTTTTGAATTTTCCTCGGAGTTCGGTATTTTTGTTATTTTACTTTTTAATGTAGAAAAAGAAATCACAGTAAGTAAATACGACACAGCAGTGATATAATTTACTTTTAAACAACAGCAATCAATGATTTTCAGGAAACTTTATTTGTTTTGCAACCGACGGATACCTGTTTATTACAAGAAGTATTTCAGCAAGAGTTTTGGATCCATTTATATTGCTTTAAATACGGCCTTTACCAATTATCAAAAGCCATACCACAATGCAAGCTATTAACGCCCCCGACATGACAAATGTGAAGTGATTCAAACGAGGAAGCTAACGACCTGCTAAATGTACAAAATGATAAATTGTACAAACAACAAATATTATGTACTGCAACAAACGACAACCCTTAATTACAGGATCCTGTCTTGAGACAGGCACATACAGAATCTTAGGGGGCTAAAGATGTTTTCGGGTTACCATACCTCTCCAAAACATGGGACAGTATATCATGTAGGTTTTTGTCCTATTTCCTGAACTATTTTCCTTTTTCCAGCTTAACTACAAGAATCTTATTCAGTTCGTTTTATGACGTAATTTGTTTCCAACTTGACTATACGAAACATTACTAATCTTATTTTGTCTGTTTGTTTAATTCTATTTCATTAAAGTGTTTTCGTAACTAATCTCATTATCTATTATATGTGTCTGTTTGTAATTTCGTAAACTTACCAACACGAAACATTACTGATCCAATTTCTTCTGTTTGTTCTGTGTCGTAAAATGTTTTCCTACCCCATTGAACAATAACATAACCATTATCAATCAAAGGTTTTGAAATAGCATGACAGACTGGTGGTGTTTCGTCGGCTAATATTGGTCCGAACCAAATCTTCTGGTCTAGACCAGCTCTGTTTTGCACTTTGATGAATATGAATATAGTTTTTTCTCCTATAAAACCTCTGTGATGCTGGATGTAACTTGTGAGGTGATGTGTTTTGGTATAAACCATTAAATTTGGACTATCAATTTCGGATAAATCTCTTCCAAATCCTACATAGGCATTAGATATCTGGCTATGATCTTCACTAATGCCCCATTTAATTTGAAAAAGATCTGTCGGGTTGTAGATAAAGTTTTGTTTATAACAACTAATAGTGCGGCATATAAAAGATGATACGGCTATACCTTCGCCTGTATTTTCCTGTATGATAGGAAGTAAACTCAAAATATCGTCATTACTCTTGTTTGTACATAGTTTACTACATTCATCTCCAAATAGCTTAACTCTTGAGAGATTTTGCTTCACGAGCCATGGAACGCCGTCATAACAACCGATAGATTCTACAGTCTTTGCATGCTTAATGTTAACGTTTACTACTTCTGGAACACTTTCATCGAATGTTATTCCATCAGAACAAGCGATCTTTGAAGGACTCATTGCGGAGTTAAACGCTATAACAGTCAAATGGTATTTACCCTGACCATCTGGAAACACCATTTTTGCTGATTCGTGAGGGGTTTCTAGTACAAATGAACCGTTAAAATTACCGATCTCTATGTTTCTCAAATTGTGGATACAGTTTCTACCAATGGCTACTCTATATAACTTAATACCACTTTCGTGGTCAATAAATGCATGCCAGTGAGCAGTGACTTCATTGAAACTCGTATAATCTATATCCGGACTGCCTACTGGACCTTCCAAAACCACGCCTACCTCTGGAGGAGATTCGTCAACTAATATGTCAATATGGTCATAAGCGACGAGATAAGCATTATTCATTGCTTTCACGGTGAAGAAGTACCTCCTGTTATGATTTCCTTCATGTTTGCTAAGTGTTTTCAGCTTCTTCAGGTCTGCCACATATGTTGTTGATGTACACTCACCAATTATCGGACAGTAACAAGACGTTGTATTTTCACATGAAATCTGAAAGAACAAAACAAAATAAGAAAATTATCTAGATTTCTTTTCTTGACTTACATCTAAAAATTAACAATGAGGGTCGGTTGAAAACAAATCTTTACGACAAAAGAGATGATTTCACCTCCCAAATGTGAACTTTCCATTTCTATGTAGCAACATTCCAACAGCGCCTGCATACGGAGTATATATCTCCCAATTGATACGGTATTCCCGGACTTGTATTTCCTATCATGATTTCCTTGATAGAGAGTCGCTCCTCACAAGGAAGCTATTAAACCAAGAGTTCCAAATGGTGAAGTTGAAATCATCCCTTCGTAAATTTTACGGACGCCATCACGAGTTGGTTGACCGTTATGGAAGATCCGTTTCACAGTTGATAGCAAATATGTTCCTAATGTCGTAACTACAATCCCGTTCCCTTTTCACGAATGTGACCTACCGAATTAGACTATTAACCGGGTTTGTACTAACATGAGCAACACGACGGGTGCGACATGTAGAGCAGGATCTGCTTTTCCTTCCGGAGCACCTGAGATCACCCCCAGTTTTGGTGGGGTTCGTGTTGCTAAGTCTTTAGTTTTCTATGTTGTGTTTTGCATACTATTGTTTGTGTGTTTGTCTTTTTCTTTTTTAGCCATGGCGTTGTCGGCTTGTTTTCGATTTATGAGTTTGAATGTCCCTCTGGTATCTTTCGCCCCTCTTTTATACCGGTACATGTGATTTAGCGGAAATGTCACCTTATTCTAAGTTAATAATTTATTTAGTTGTTTATGGTATATCACATTCTTCAATGCTTGTTGATATAACTGATGATGACCTTGTATAGTCATTTGGTTGAAATACGACGTATTTTCATTTCAAAGCATTCGGTCATGTTCAAGAAAGAAGAAATCCGCTTTATGGAAGATACCATAATTATAATGTAGTACGTCGGACACACATTTCATTAACATAAGATTCTCCAGTGGAGCTAGAACCAAAGTAGTGAAAAGACCAAATCAATTACGAACCTTGAGAGCATAAAAAACCAAACGTATGAAAACGTGGTGGGAGAATTCCAGAAAACGATAGATTTTGTTATCATTAGGTTAAGATTTGGGAATAGACATATGCAATCATCAAATGGCATAAATCATATTCCTCCATTACTAGATATCTGGCTTTAACATAGGAGTCCAATGTACTGAGAGGAACAATTTAATCATGTTTGCCTATCCAAAGTCAGGAACCTATTCAGTGGTTTTTTTAGTTATATAATAAGAATTTTGTCTGTTAAAAGATTGATGTTAATGGTAGATCTTTTGAAGTCACTATCAATGTGTTTTATACTCGGTTCGATTAAGATCTCGACATATATTAAAGGGAAAATTCGCGATTTTTTACTTACAGTTTAAATATGTTCATTATAACATAAAATATATATTCACAAAGTTTTATTGTTATATGTGCAGTAATAAAGAAGAAAATCAATAATTAATAAAAAAAAAATAGTTGTACGTGACGTTTTCTCCTGGAATTGCATGCCGGAATTTAAAGAACAATCGTTTAAAGTCTTGGTCTTTAATCATATTTTAACGTAATCATAAGCGCGCCGATGACTAATTTTGATAGCTAATTACCATCCGACAGTATGACAATAAAATGAACAGACATGCAACTTTTTACATTCATGAGATAAAATTTGCTATATTTACCGTATATTTTTGTTTACAGCACAAAAAGTCAATCTTTTATTTTTTTTTAAGATTTGCTTTTTCCGACGGATATGGTGAACAAATTAAAGTGTAACTTAAACTGTAAAGACAAAGGTGTACGCTTATTGACCTTTTACTATCTACCGGTACGGTAGGACTAGGAAAATACGATGTGTGTATTATTCTCTGGCAATACTCGTGGAAGTCTTGTATAAAGGTATAAGGTTATTTACAGATCGGCAATTAGCAAGACCTCTAGGGTACACCGTGCCAGGTGTGACTGTTAATTCGAATGGATTATACGACGGAAGGTCGATTAAATACACAAAGTTAGAATACATGTTAAAGGTGGCAAATACAAATAGAACGTCGGGGAATATTAAATTATACTTAGGACCAGGGTTTGGCTCGTTGTTAACCGAATCATTATTTTGAAGATGTATGTAATATATATGTCGGACGAATAAATCCGATGTTATAAAAATGTTAAATAATGTGCAAATTTATAAATCTAAAGGGGAAGTTATTAAAATAATAAATATTTTTTTATTTGATTATTTAAAAAACGAAGAAATTATCTTGGGAAAACAAATAAAGAAGTGTCATAATACAGAGTATACTATTTAATGATCAAAACGAACAAAAAAGGTGTATCCAAAGCGCTTTTGATTTACCTCATACGGTTACAAAATGTATGGAAACACTCTGTATAATTTGAAATATTGGTAGGTGTTACCTGGCCAAAAGGTGATCATCGGACTTGGATGGAGAATTGTCTCATTGGCACTCATACCATTTGTTTAAGACAGACTGGAAGAATCGGATTTTCAATGTGCTTTTTATCTTGTACCTTTGCAAGACTTGTCATTCATATTCTTCAGTAGGGCACATTATTCCCACTCTAAACAGACAAGAATACTCCTTAATACCAGACAAGCAATAGTATTTTAAAATTTCTGTGATTTAATACCAAGTTAAATAAAAACCACCGAAATTAATTTGATACTCAATATGTTTCCTTGAAAATAAACATATTCTCATTCGGTATGAAAATGAAATATGAAATTGATATACAGAACATTCAGAAGTGTGAATGTTATAAAATCTTGTTAATAGAGAAAGGTAATGAACGCCATTATAGACATGAAACTGTATACGTAAGGCCTCATGGGACGACACCCTTCCATTTACAGGTAATATACATGTTGCTCTGTAATACCCAGAAATGTCGAGGTAAATCACTGCCTATACAGAATGTACCATGTCAAAGAAATTCGTAAAGCATGACCATTCATGATTTAAGATGGGTCCAGGGGGGGATGATTAAAATTCTGACTAGATAGTTTTTCTCAACTTATATCACCAGAGACATATAATACAATGTATTATATGTCTCTGATATCACTAAACAAAACAAAAAACAAAAAATACATCCAGGAACAAAATTCTTTTTGTAATTTCATAGAATACTCCTTTATATCGGCTACAGTACTTACTGGACAAGCAGTATTTTTAAATTGATTTAATACTTAGTAAAAAACACCGAAACCAGTATATACCTCAGTATATACGTGAAACATCGTGGGACAGTACCTAACCATATGCAGATAATATACACGTAGCTCCGATGTAATAATTATTAAAATGACAGAAATACACCGGTCTCTAAAAACACCGCAAAGGACCTCCTTTGTGCACAAAGGACCACAAAGGAGCTTTATTTGAGCACGAAGGACATACAATTGTGTATGTAATGGGGAATAAAGTCATTTCATACGAAAAAAATATTTAATTTTATTAAATACTAGCATTAAATCGGTAAGTTGAAGATTTACGAAACCGTGTTCAAAAATTGGTACGGATATGCATAAGATTACGGCATTTTTTAGATTATCAGTAACGAAGAGTTTATTATACATTTATATTCTAAAATATTGCAAAACATGAACATAAAATAAAGACTTGACAATAAACAGATACAAAAATTTAAAAAAAAATTGTTTGTCAAAATTTCAATTCCGCAAATAAAAACATGAAAAACTAATTGTATAATGAGGACTTGATTGCGCTTGTCATATCATTACCAAAGTGGAATTCTTTACAATTTATTATCAGTGTTAAAAAGCAGTCTTTACAAACAAGAAAACTGTTTCAAATACTGTTATTTTTACTTAACTAATATTTGAAAATATTTCAAAAGGGAACTTCAAAATTAATGTAGATCACACAAGCGGAGATAAAAGAAATCGTCAAAAAAGTGAAAAAGTGAAAAAATAGAAACCATTGTTAAAATGAGAGAGTTCTTTTATAGATTTTTTTTAATTCCGACGGTTAGAATTTCGAAATGAGTTATGATTTTGTCAATCTATATATTTACTTGGTTATTTATTTATAAAAACAAATAGAAATAAGAAGATGGGGGATGAGTGCCAATGAGACAACTCTCCATCCAAGTCACAATGTATAAAAAGTTACCAATTATACTAGGTCAAAGTACGGCCTTCAGCACGGAGCATATTGACATTTCTGAAATACGGATTTGAAAATTCATGTCAATTTCGTAGTTTAAGAATTACTACAATATCGATCCTTTTTGTGTCTTGTGAAACATTTTCTTCATAGATTTATAAAGTAAGAAGATTTTGATAGATACACTGTTTTTGTCCAGGATAAAATTTGATAAAACAAAGTGTATATTGACATTTCTGAACTACTGATCATTTAATTACTATATATAAATTCACAAACATGAGCTATGACATAAACCGGATATGCAGTCGGTTTCGATCTGGTACCGGTGATTACACCAAGTCGTACGTAATAAAAATTGCAATTTTCATGATTTTTTATTTTTTTTTATATATTTTTCTTCAGAAATTATATTATTTCCTTGTGAAACATCCAATTAAAGGTCCTTTGTGCTCTTTTTACTCTCCTTTGTGGTCATTTGTGCTACATTATGCTCCTTTGTGCACAAAGGAGATCCTTTACGGTGTTTTTAGAGACCCTAAATACACTGGAAATAAATTTATGGTGTGTACTATGCAACTACGGCTATGCATATTTTCTATGAAGTTGCATAACCACTACTAACAACAGAGTACATGTACATGTTTTTAAATGACCCCTTCCACCATTTCAACCAAAAATGACAATTATATATGAATTTATTTTCTACTAAATGTGTGTATTTGTTATATTTATTTAACAAATGTGTGCATTTTCCCCTAAAAAAACGAGAAAATTTTCGTATACCCGTTCCTATAAGGTACAGGAATATGCTTTATTTATGCAATTTATATGATTGTTTTCTCTCTTCTATTTTCAACATATATTTTAAATTGTAACTATCTATAGTTCCGTAACTTTCTATCTGTATAAATCAATGATCGACAATTGCATACATTTTTGTGAAATAAATATATATAGGCTATGTTTTAAATTTTTCATAATTATTGACAACGAGTATATACTGACATTTTTCAATATTTTACGGCCATAGAAGTATCAATTAAATTTTATTTCCTCAAATATTTAGCTAGAACTATTGAGATTTTCACAAATATCATTCTTTAAACCAGAAATGCCATTCATAAACAAGTGGTAGTTAAATTGTATACACGTATTAGTTTAGCAATGACTAGTATCCCAGGTAGCACAAAACATTTTCACAACATTTTTATAAGGTTGTATAAATGTCGTCTCAAAACGTTGTCGAAAAAATATTTATGTAGATATTTTTTCTTGTATTTTAAAAACATTTATTTAAAATATTTTTTGAAAATGTTTTTACAATGATGTAAGAATATTCATGAAAATGTTTTCAATGACATTTTTTAAGATATTTTGTTTGAATGTTTTATAAATGTTCAGAAGATATGTACGTTCTACCTCTGAAAAACATTTTAAAAGCATATGAGTAAAACATTCTTAACAATATTGCTGCGATGTTTTTAAAACATTTTCTAAATATGTTTCATGAAATGTTTTAATAACATGCCTTTAAGATATTTTAACAACATTTCTTCATAATATTTGATGAAAACATTTTAAAAACGTTACGCATTTAATATTGAGAAAATGAATTTCTAAAACATTTTGTTACTAATATTTTAACAACATTTTAAAATAATATTATGAATACATTTACCCAAAAACATTTAAAAAACGTTACGCATTTAGTATTGAGAAAATGAATTTATAAAACATTTTGTTGCTAATATTTTAACAACATTTTAAAAAAATATTATGAATACATTTACCTAAAAACATTTAGTAGAAAATGTTTAAACAATATTTTGCAAACATTAATTTAGGTTATGGAAGAAAAACTTTATTTCATCAAATGACAGTGATTGAAGCGGTACTTCCCATATATAGCCTTTTACAGTGCACGTATTGCTATTTTCCGGATTTTCTGTTCCAGTACCGACAACAAAAGTTTACACATTTAAAATCTAACTGTTCCCGATGACCAACGAACATGATCCGAAGCAATTTTGGAAACCAGTAACCGGAAGTTTTATTTACCATGCTGTAAACAAAGACAAAGGAAACGTACAAAATAAAGAATAACCTTATCATGCGTTAAAACTGGTAAGATATGACACTAGTTCACATTTATAAAACATTGTTATGCTTCTGGAAATATCTTGGTTAATTTGATTCATATATTCCAAGAATTAATACGAGTGTAAGCAAGCACAATGCAAAAAGGGGGTGATGATTTAGTCTACCTAGATGTTATGATGTTTATGTCCAGTGAACATTACGAATTATAGAAAAGGGATTAAACTTAAGGGTTATTTATATGATTTTAAAATTCATAAATGTAATCACTTGTAACCAGTGAGCATGTCTGAAAAGTTCTGTGTTACAAGTCCGCCCTATGACGCTTTGTTGGCTTTAACAGACTGAGCTATTTAAGCAGTACTTCCTTAGCTCAATCGCTGGCTACGTATCTACTAGTCAAGGGAATCTCAAGCACGCAATGGTTAGCTATAAACACACAATATATAACGCATACCAGTCGACTGGCATATATTTCCGCCCCAAAATATCTATGATACGCGCCCCTGTGCTATAATATATTGTTTATGTAATTTGTAAATTTGTGTTTAGCCCTACAGCCAAGCCCAAGGCCAGATAATTATTTATGTGCCGGTCCCAAGACAGAAGTTTGATTTAGTAGTTGTCGGTTCATTTCTGACATATTTGTTTTATAAATTATGCCATTAGTTTCATTGTTTGAATTGTCTTTAATTATACGCCCGTTTACGGGACGTATTATGGTATACCGTTGTCCGTATGTCTGTCGTCAACATGTCGGACATTAACTCATAAATGCTTTAACCAATTTGAATAAAACTTTTTAAATTTTAGATTTTACGTTTCCGAGTTCTGGAGTTTCATTCATTAAAAATAGCGTGGATTTTCTAGTTTTCGGACAATAACTCAAAAACGCTTTCAGCAGTTCTCTTTAAACTTTGGTAAATAGTTTATATCTATTGACTTAAGCTCTCTTTCAATTTTCATGAATTTCTGATTTGACATTGAGAAATGATTGAACTTTTTTCTTCGAAAAATGCGACGGGCGTATCATGCGCTCATGGCGCAGCTGTTTATTTTTTAATGTTGTGGCCTTTGTAGCTGACTAATACAATGTGACTTTTTCTTACCTGTATTTTATTTATTTTGTTTATTTTAACTTTTGTAGGATCAATTAGCATGATTAGACGTACCAAAATTTAGGATAGATTTTCAGAAATGCAGATTAAAATTGAGAATGGAAATGGGGATTATATAGAAGAATATAAGCTTAGAAATGATTCAAACCATCCTGGAGGAGCAAATTTTATGAAGGTATTTATTCTTTAAAATCCTCAATCTATAGTACAAGTATTTGCGCTAAAATATACAATAACCATTACGAAACTTGGTTTTTTTTTTGTAAGACCAAGAAAATGTTACAGGCCCTACACGGCTGGCTACTCTAAATTGAGAAAATTGTAGTGTACAGTATACATGTCTTATTTTATAAACTGGTGAAATCTACCGTTACACTTTTGTAATAATAATACACCCCAGACTCTACAGATGTATAAAGTAGCTACAATTGTTGCTTCTGAATCCATTAACACTGATTAGATGACACTTTTCAATATATTTTTGTGAAAACACTTGATTAAATTGAAGAAAAATAGTTTATTGTGTAATTCAATGAAATTAGCTGAATTTCCACTCGTTTAATCACTAAACAGAAGGACTAATTTGTTTACACTTTATTTTACAGAAGCCAGCAGATGTCAAAAGAAATAAAAAGAATGGAACAAAAGAAACTTTGAAAAAGAACAGTGATACGAAAATATTGAATAAATGATTTGCATTTATAATTGTAATTCTATCTTGTATAGTGTTGACTAAGGCAGCAAAGAAAACAGTCAAAAAACTTCAGAAAAAAAATGTCCGATGCTACATGTGATCAAACATGAAATCAAGAAATACTTCTCAAAAAAATGCATTAAGATTAAAATCAGAAAAAAACCATGACAAATTATTACGTGTTCAAGGTATTACAAAAAATAGGGTTATGTCAACGATACATAAATCCGACAAAAGTAAACAAAATATATATAGATTCAACTGTAATCAACAAACAATTGTAAAAGGAGATGTGGGGTAAAGATCAGTATATGACAGCAGTTGTTTTTCAGATGCAGATCCAGGATTATGAAAAGAGGGGCCACAGGCTCTAAACTAAACAAAGTTTGAGTGAAATAGTAGGAATTAGATTAACCATAATTATAGCTCCATAAGGTGACCCAGGACCCCCCCCCCCCTCCCCACCCCCAGATCAAACATGATTAAAATGTTTTTTGAATATTTTATAAAACATTTGAATGACGATGTAAGAAAACATTTTTCTAATGATATTCATATAACATTTAAATGATGTATTGAGAATATGAACATTATTAAAACATTTTGTAAAATGTTTTTTGAACATTTTCACAACATTTTATCCTGCAAAAACATTTTTTTTATGTTTTAAAAATGTTTCAAGGATATTTTATAAACATGCATATTTAAAACATTTACAAAACATTTTACAAACATTGTCAACAAAATTCAGAAACGTTTTAATGATGTTTTAAAAATATCCTGGACATGTTATGGAAAATGTTTTGAAAATATTTTTAGCGCCATACATTTTAACGTGATTTTGATATTTTCTACGATAATTTCACAACATTTTTCAAAATGTTTTTAAAACATAAACACAATGTTTTTGTGTTAACTGGGATTATGTCACTGTCGGACTGAAGACAAAAAATGTACAAATGATGTATTTCATCTAATAGTTTTCAAAATGCAAAATTCCAAGTTTCCGGCCGTATACACTGATACGCTCAACAGTAATTGACAGCGATGAATGAACCTGCATTATGTAAATGTATAATAAAGAGATTTTTTTTTAGCCCGACAGGAAATCGCTTGAATACCTGGACGTGTCACCTCATAATACCTCTGGCAATAATGCCTTTAGCCATGCTGATGATCAAATTAGAGAAGGAGACACTTGAATAAATGTATTGCATAAAAGATTTATGACAGAATAAGATTTTTGAAAAACAATTTTACACGGAACCTCGCTCGTTAATTATGATTTTAAACTTTGAGAGAATCCATAAAAGTAATCTATATATTTACTTGTTTCACAAACTTAGTAAAAAAAAAACGGTTTAAAAAACGACAGACCATAGTTATTTAAGAAATATAGATGTCCTTGATTGGTGTCATTTAGAATCGCAAATAATTTATCTTTATTCTTAATTAATGTTGTTCCTTTCAATTATACTTTTTTATCATTGTATAATAATTTGGCTTCTGGAAAGGGTTTTCAATTGCACGTGTTCTTTGTTTATCAGATTTTAATCAGGTACATACCGATTTGTTCGTTGCTGCCACTGCTATTGATTTTTCTATCAAGACTGTTTTGTTTTCATAAATACCAAACGCCCATTTGATTTCCTGAACTCCACTATGTAAATCGAACGCCTTAAACTCTAAATGTATATTAGATAAGTCTGAGCTATGATGAACATAAAGCTGCGTTTTTCTATTTCGAATTAACCATATATCAGATATTTCCGGTACAGATCGGTCGATATGAACTTGAACACTATCATTGAGTGTATGGTTCATTATATCTCTAGCTCGGAGACGTAGTAAGAATGTGTCACCATCGTTCATAATTGTTTTAAGGCATAGTGACTGTGACGTAAAATTCCGCACTTTTTCGGAAACTACAACATTTATATCGTTCCGCAACAAAGTATAGGAAAAATCAGTTAAACCATTGATATTCTGTGTACCCGTCACAGGTAAAACGCCTGACCTTTGATCGTAAATTCCTTTTATTGAGTCATATGAATCTGACTTGATTGGACGAAGTGGGTTGTTCTTTTTATAATTGTTATTGAAAAATCGATTTTTCCATGAATAACAAATACTTTCATGGTGTATTTGCCATATGAAGTTTGTTTGGTTTGATGCTGAAACAACCCTCAAAGGTATTAAATCATTCTTCACAATCTCTGATGAATTGTCGTACAGAACAAAGCGTCGTGCGTGTCTCGCGTTGTTTGTTCTGTCTTTCACTTCGAGTAAAATGGCATAGAGCATTGGATTTTTCTCTGGTAGTTCTATTTCAAGTTCTGTTATGTCTTTCGAACAGTTGTATGGTCCCGCAATAGCTTTTGTATTCCTCATTATTGTTTCAGGGTCCCCTTCGTTAACTTCGAAAACATTGATTTCATATGATTCTATCTCAGATGCAAGGGAAGATCTTCCATTAAATGGATAAGGATCAGACCAATTCTTAAAAAACACTTTTATAAGACGTGAAGTTGTAAGCCTTTTTGAAAGTTTAAGTGGTTCTCCTGTGCATCTAACACTGTCAAAACAAAATGATGGTAGTTCTCTGTCGTAAATGTAACATAGTTTTCTAAATTGCTCGGTTTTTGCATATGGTTCCTGTATTGTTGTGTGTTGTTTCGACAGTAAATTCTTTGAAACAAGATATCCTCCACCTTTAGCCCGAAATGTCAAACATAAACTGAAAAATAGATAGCTGAGACTTAATCAATAAAGGCAACAGTAGTATACCGCTGTTCAAAAGTCACAAATCGATTGAGAGAAAACAAATCCGGGTTACGAACTAAAACCGAGGGAAACACATCAACTATAAGAGGAAAACAACGAAACAACAGAACACTGAAGTGCAACAAAAACAAACTACAATGCAACATACATAGAAACGAACTATTAGATAACAACTGCCATATTCCTGTCTTGGTACAGGACATTTTCAGAAAAAAATCAATACCATCGAATTTCACAAAATATGCATGGTTTATACAATCTTGGTAAGCAATAGTAAATTAAAAACAAAATATGTAAAATCATTATCCAAGTGATATCAATTACGATTTTAATGAATTAATCAAGCAAACAAATTGGCCTTTGTAAACAAAGTGTACCTTTGTTAACGTATTAAAATTTTAAGATAAAATCAAATTCATTTGTTTATTTAAATGAAACTTCTTTTCTTTGAACTGCATTCTAACATCAACCTATTGTCTTATGCCATTTAAAAATCCAGGATGGCAGAGGACACCAGTTCTGTCTGAACTATAAAAACTGAGTTTACTGAGTAAAACGGGGTTTATTTTCTTAATCTTGCGTTACTGGCGTTTATGCAGAAACATCTCAAGAAGCACCAATTAAAATCCTAAACATTTTAACAATAAAACCTCTTCGTTAAAAATTACGACATATTATTATAGACTTGATTGTCGGTTTTCACAAGTTTATAAAAAGAGAGGCGGAAGATACTAAAATGATATTCAAACTCAATCGCTGAAGACAAATTGACGACGCCAAAAAAAAAACATAAACCGACAAAAGACAAATAATTGGCAATCATATCACAACTTCTTATTTCTATAAACATCAGTCTACAACGTAGAACGTAGAATAACAAAAGACTGTGCCACACGAACTGCACCAAACAACTGGGGATGAAAAGTGGTTTCAAAAACACAGTACAGTATTCTCACCTTTGCTTTGTGCTTTAATATAAAATAATGACGATGTGGTTTGATTGCCAACAGGACAACTCTCCACCAGTTACCAAATGACGTCGATGCAAGCAAGTATTCAATAATGAACATACCCCTTACCCAGGCTAAAAAGGACCTTATCAGCGTATTGTCATGCACCAAAAACGCCCTCTAACCTTGGTTAGTGCTATAAAAACACAGCATAATAACAAACTATAAAATTAGTTGAAAGATTTTGAATCTTTTGACCAGAACAAAACACAAAACACAAACAACCGTTAAGACGTATATTACCGACATGAGAGTACCCGTATTTACCGAAAGCTAGTTCAAAGTCATAACAACTAATAACAATTTATATATCCAAGACAAAATATATAAGTTTAAGAATATTTGAAAATCATAATTTCCAATGGTAAACAACATTACTTAGTTTGCGTACTAGATAGAGGTTTACATCAAAATACTATTCGCAGTACTCACTGCAGGTAGATTTTTCGAAAGGTATTCAATTGTTTACTAGTATGTGTATAATTTACAGACATACTATCATCATAATGGATTTTTAACTGATTGTTTTTTTGTTTTGTTAAACCAATGACAAACAAAAAAGAATACTAAATTGTACTTTCATTCGTTAAACTATCATTATTTCATGTGTCACGCATATAGACAAAGATATGTCAGACATATGGGGCAAGATGTGTCAGGTATTCAACCAGGATGTGTCAGACATTTTGACAAAGATGTGTCAGTCATATGGACCCAGATGTGTCAGGCATTTTAATAATTATGTGTTAGAAAAATGCACCAAGATGTGTCAGGCATACGGACATAGTTGCGTCAGGCATATGCACCATGATATGTTAGGCATACGGACATAAATGCCTAAGACATTTGGACCAATATGTGTCAGACATATGGACCAATATATGTCAGGCATATGGACCAAGATGTGTCAGGTATATGAACCAAGATGTGTCAGGCATATGGGCTAAGATGTGTAAGACATATGGGCTAAGATGTGTCAGGCATATGGACCAAGATGTGTCAGGCATATGGGATAAGATGTGTCAGGCATATGGACCATGATGAGTCAGGCATATGCACCAAGATGTATGAGGCATACTGACATGGATGCGTCTGATATTTGGACAGAAATGTGTCGGACATATTTGACCCAGATGTGTCAGTCATATGCACCAAGATGTGTTCAGCATACGGACATAGATGCGTCAGACATTTGGACAGAAATGCGTCATACATACGGATCAAGATGTGTCAGGCATACAGGCCAAGATGTGTCAGGCATGTGGACAAAAATTTGTCAGGGATATGGACCAAGACGTGTCCAAGAGGTCAACATATAGTTGTGTATGATGACAAATAGAAATGCCTAACAAATCTTTGAAAAAGTAAAGAATTTTTAAAAGTTTCTTTATAAATTTAACTTAATGTAAAATGTTGCTGTAGCTATCCGTTATGACCTTTTGAACTCATCAGAACTGCAACAATTTATTACGCTATAATGAATCTCACCTCTCTCCGTCCGATAAATTGTGGTTCACTGCAATGGTAGCGTTTACATCGTAAATTGGTTGTGGATGTAAAGATGAACTATCAGTTTTAATATTTGTTGTACCAAGAAAATAATGTGTACCTACAGTGATATAAAATTACTATAAAAAAGAAATGTCTAGCTATTTTATAATCATCTATGAGACATTAGTGAATTTATAAACAAACCTTTTATACACTGCACCCGTTTTGTAATCTATAGGCTTTTTTACGACATTGTAACTCGTGTTTACAACTTTAAATGTTAAGCGCACGACTTGTAAAGTGGTTTGTACGACTTTCAAAATAGTGATACGACTATTTACCCTAAAATATTAACCAAATAAAGTTTGAGTTAGAGTCATAGTTAGATGTAATTTAGAGTTTGATTTAAACCTTGAGTCATGCTTTAAGTTAGAGTAAGGCATCAGTAGTAGGTTCAAGTTAAAGCTTGGATTACAGTTCGAGTTTGAGGTTTGTTTCAAAATGTTTGTTTGATGCAGTTATAGTTCAAAATACACGTCCAGTTAAAGTTCGATTTCGACTGGGTAAATTTCAAGTTCAAGTTCGCGTTAGAAATCAAGTTAAAAATCATCTGTAAGGCGCAATCGTGTATGTATGTTTATGTATTCTAACAATATCGAAATTAATATATGTGCAGTTCTATAGCCGAGATAGAATAGGAGGGACTGTCAAAATAAAACATATAATAAAAAACTATTCCAAAAGAAATTGTATAATCAAGACACCAAAGTTTATTCTGTTTTATCTTTTGTGACAAAAAGTTTTGCGGTTTTGTTTCACAAGGGTTCAACTCATCAATAATACCTTTATACACTTTGTAAGTTAAAACATTGTTTCTTAATTTAACCTGTTGACACAATTTGTAATGCATTTATGTTACTTGATGTTTACTTTTTTTGTGTTATATCTCGTCTCACTATTTTCAATTTGTACCACCTTTGATAAGTATTTAGTATTACGATAAACTTTCACTTCTGTTCTCATACTATGAACAACTAACTTATTTGGTAAAAAATATTTCCGTACTCCTAACAACAAAATTATTATATTTAGAATTACCTGTGTACGTTTTTTTTTTATTTAAAGCCATTTCGTCCCAGGTTATAGTTGTCTTTTTAAAGTTGTTTTACATATTGTATTTATGTTGTGTCATAGATCAAATTTATTCTTTCAGTGTATGTTTACTTGTTTTTGTTAATATTTCTTTTTTTTCAAGTTGAGCTATTTTAATTGATATTTTATAGTGTGCCTTTCTATGTTGTAATGTTATATTACTGTTTCAGGTTAGGGTGAGGGTTGGCGACTGTTAATACGTTTAAACACGCTTTATTTGTTTGCACCTATCCTAAGTTAGGAACCTGTTGTTCAGTGGCTGTCGTTTGTTGATGTGATTGATAAGTGTTTCTGGTTTCTCATTTTTTTTTATAGATTAGACTGTTAGTTTTCCTGTTTGAATTGTTTTACACTAGTCATTTTTGAGACCCCTTATTACTTGCTGTTCGGTGTGAGCCAATGTTTTGTATTGAAGCTGGGACTATTATACTACTATATTAGTATAATAGTTACACATTGTAACTTGGATGGAGAGTGCAATTGTTTCATCAATATAGGCATAAGGTATTCTACAAACACTCATTGGATTAAGATTTTTGGTATCGTCGAAAGTGAATTGTATGATCCAATACTTCAAAAAAAAATGATGCACTGTCAGAAAATGGGTTGCTTAGTGGATAATCAAGTGGATAGATAATCGACGAGTACACGATGGATATCCAAGAAATAGTGCATCTTGCAATATCCAGGGGTAAACTCTGGTACTGTACCCAGTAGTCACTACACCTAGTACATGACACTTTTCCACTAATTAACCACACATTTGTGGGCCTATGCAAAGACAAAAACCTCTTTAATGATTCTTTTTAGAAGTTTATAAAAAATGATGTTGATTACAGAATTGTAGTAGACTAAGGTGGTTAATCCCTGGGATCCATTTGATATGATGTGACATTTTCAGCAAACAACTCTTAAAGCGTGCGTTCAATTAACCCAAAGCATTTGATTTGTTTG